GGGGGGGGGGGGGATCAGGTGTCGCAATTATGACACCTTGTTCGCATTTGCAAAGGTTAGGCCTAATCTTGGTAGTTCGCAATTGCGACAAAATTGTCGCATTTGCGATGGGCCAGGGTTCGCATTTGCAATGGGCCAGGGTTCGCATTTGCGAACCCATTTGTCGCATTTGCAAAGTCCCTGTGGCTGGGCAGTTGCCGCATTTGCGAGGCATTCTTCGCAATTACATGGTTCATGATTTTCACAATTACGACATCTGTAACTGAACAAAAAGTTAGAAAATCGGGATTTAGTCTCATTTCTCATATTTTAGAACCCTTGGTTCGGTAAGAGGCGATTTGGAGAGAAGATTTTTATCTACAAACATTGGGTAAGTGATTCTAATCAATTTCCAACTATATTTCATTAATATATCTTAGAATTAACATCAAATTCATGCAAATCAAAGTTAAAATTTGTGGAATTTTGTCTAAGTTTTGAAGTATTAGAATTTGAGTTTTGAGAGTCTATTTGGACTCGGATTTGAAAAACTAATCACATATATGGACTCGTGAGGTTATGGGTAGTCGGAATCTACCCTTGGACCCAAGTTTTGACCGGACAAGCCCGGGGTTGACTTTTGTTGATGTTTTAAAAATTTTGTAAAAAATCAAAGCTTTATCTATCGTAATTGCTTACTCTTGTATTGATTGTTGATGTTGAATCACTTTTGGTTAGATTTGAGCCATGTGGAGGCAAATTTTAGGGAAACGCTATTTTCGAGGGTTAAGTTGGCCTAGTTGAGGTAAGTATCTTGCCTAACTTTGTGTGATAAAACTACCCCTTAAGAATTGGTTTGTTTGTGTTAATTGTGTTATGTGAAAGCCACGTACGTAAGGTGGTCAGTAAGTACATGGGCTATATTTGGTATTTGACTGGTTTAGGTTATTTAGATTCTTTTCATGCCTTTAATTGAATTGTCATAACATGTTATATCTTTCAATGTTAATCCACCCTTACATGTATTAATTGACCCTTAAATATTTTATTTGACATTGTTAACACTTGTTTCACCTCTTACTTGCTAATTTGCTCTTATATGCTTTAGTTGAAGTTATTGTCTTCCTTATTGTCTCGTTCTTTAATTGTTGAATTATATGCTTGAAGTCGTTATTTCATAGAATATCTTCTTTTTGAGTTATTGGTGTTGAAGTTATAAAAGCCGTTATCACATTGAGGCAAATTTGTTAATTGTTGAGATATCATTCTTGTTGAGCTATTCACTTTTATTTTATTATTGTTTAGATTTGTACATATTGTGGTTGAGCCATGAGCTATTTATTGTGGAAATATTGGTATTGTTGATTCTTTTGGCAAGTTATGGCATATGGACACTTATGGTGCAAGTGGTGATTATGTTGTGATATTGATACGCATACGGTTATATAAGGTTAGGGGTTGATACGCATGCGGTGAGATAAGGTGGGCTTGATACATGTATTGCTAGTAGGAGAACAACTGGAAACCACGCAGTGTGATAAGGTGAGCTAAAATGCGGATAGCTATTTCGAAAAAATGATTTTCAAAACTAAATGTAATGCTCACACAGTGATATAAGGAAAGATTATGATTGAAATTGTGAAATGTGAATACGAAGCGGTACCTCGGTTGTGATTCTTGTTGTGCACTTCATATTGAAAAGAGTTATTGGTTGGACCGTTCTTGTTACTCTTATTCTTCTTTGTCTTACCAGTTTTGTCTGTATTTGATTATTTGAGGTTCTCATTAATTGTTTCTTTCTTGTTGTTTCTCTGCGTACAATTCTATCATTTGTTTACGCTATTAAACTGCTTGATATTATTCATTTCTCCTCTTTTCATTACTTCTCATTATTATATTTGTGTTCTGTTTATCATGTCCTAGTTGGTATCTTGACCTGGCCTTGTCACTACTCTACCGAGGTTAGGCTTGATACTTACTGGGTACCGTTGTGGTGTACCCATAGTACTCTTCTGCATATTTTTGTGCAGATCCATATACGTCTGCCCGTGCTGGACATTAGTGATTGACTTGTCAGCTGCCTTTCAGAGACTTCAAGGTATACCTGGTCGGCGTCTGCAGGCCTTAGATTACCTTCCATAGTCACCTTCTATTATCTCCTCATTTTGTTATTTTCTTTATCAGACAGTGTTGTAGTAGACGTTTTAAAATATTCAACAGAGCTTATGACAAAGTTTTACCAATTTTGGAAATTATGTTGTTGAGATTATATTTTGGAAGTTAATATGAGTTTATCTATTTTACTTTAGTATGTTAGTCTCGTTATTTCTGTTATATTATTATTAAATATTAGGCTTACCTAATCTTAGAGACTAGGTGCTATCAGGACATTTTAAGGTAAAAATTTGGGGTTGTGACATAAAGAAAGTCAGTTGTTTGGAAATCCACCAATAATCTAATGTTTGAAAATAAAACATTATTGGCTAATGAAAGTGAATAGCTCAACAAGAATGATATCTCAATAATTAACAACTTCCCCTCAATGTGATAACGGCTTTTACAACTTCAACACCAATAACTCAAAAAGAAGATATTCCATGAAATAACAACTTCAAGCAAGTAACTCAACAATTAAAGAAGTAACGAGACAATAACTTCAACTAAAGCATATAAGAGCAAATTAGCAAGTAAGAGGTGAAATAAATATTAACAATGTCAAATAATGCATTTAAGGGTCAATTAACACATGTAAGGGTGGATTAACACATGTCTCCCAATATATGTGAAATTGTTTGTTCAGGTATGGAATTTAAGAAAAGAATTTGTTTTGACACATAATCTTTTAAATAAGTCATGGTGAAAATTACACTTAATTTTCTATTTTTCTCTCTCGTGAACTTTTTAGTGACCATTTGATCGGTGGATATTTGGATGGAAGTTATTTAGTGGGCGTTTGGACATAAAATTGTGAATGTTATTTTTAAAAAACGTGAAATTATTTTTCAAGTGAAAATGATATTTGAAAATTAGAGTTGTGTTTGGACATTAATATAACTTGGAGATGTTTTTGAATTTTTTGAGTGATTGAAGTGAAAATTTTGAAAAATAGCTTTTTGGAGTTTTTTGAATTTTTAAAAAATTTCAAAATTAAAATTTCAAATGGCCAAATACTAATTCCCAAAAAAGGTGAAATTTTTCCCAAAAAAGTAAAATAACATTGATTGTCAAACGGGCCCTTAATCTAAAGCAATGTTCATTGCAGTACTTATTAATGACTATTTGATGGATAGATCGTGATATCTTATGAACTACAGAAAGGGGTTCCTCAACTCTAATACTCCAATTCACTTCAATTCACGTGAAAATATTTTTTTAAGTACTTACAAAAAAGAATGACTTATTTTTATATCACACAAATATATGTGTCTCATTTCACACAACAAATTCAAAAGTTTTTTTTTTATTAAATTTCGTACTCAATCAAATAAGTTTACATAAATTAAAACGGAGAGAGTATATGTTTGTAGTATTTCATATTCTTCGTACAAAGGTAAAGCGAGAAGGACGAAACTGAAGATTAACACTCAAGTTAGACCAAAAGTTTTGACATAAAGTGGGGTAATGCATCCTAGCAAACTGACCCCAAAGTGCGGTAACAAGTCGATCGATCCTACGTTCGCACCAAGGCTCAAAATATCATAGCTCAAAGGTTCATATTTCTTATTCTTCTTAGTTTGGAAATATAAACTTGTTATGTCATATATCTTACCTTGCATTTTTATTTGACGAGCAAATGGGTTAAATCTCAGGAAGATGAAACGAAAAGAATTTTGAGGGAAAAGAAAAACGAAAATTTCCAAGTAAATTCAGGGATTCCAATGCACTATAACTTTCAAATTATTGGTGACAAGGGGCGGAGTTAGTTTTGCGGTTACAGATTTAACCGAACCTAGTAACTTTGGTTCAAACTTCAAACCTTATATTTCTCTTTAAAAAAATCATGAAATATATATAAATTATTAATTTAGAATTTAGTAACTTAAATTGATTAAAAATCGAACCTATAACTTAAATTGATTAAAGATTGTACAAGAGTTTCAGATGAGATGGTCCGCGCTCCTCAGTGGAGTCTCTACTACAGTTAAATACATTTTTACAAGCCTCTGCAGAACTTGTTAGGATCTGAACCCACAAGTAGTCTCAGAAAATATCCAACAGTAATGATAACTCAAGCTGCAGTGACACCTCACGAGCTTACTACTCCTTCCTCAATCACATGAAGAGGGTGGCTCAAAGGCAGATCAGTGAGTTAGTGCCCATTCTCTGGGGCCAAAATGACAAACCAAAGGTATTCAATGGAAGTTCTATCACCTACTCAGTAGAGCCTGAACTAATTCCGCATCCTAATATGTATAATATCTAGTTGTCAATGAAATGCATCAGTTCATCTTCAAACTGAAAATTAGTTCAAGTGGGATGAGCAAGAGGTTCAGTTTACCAAGTCCATGTAAAAAATGAAGAATATCAACTTATTCTTGGAGGAGGTGGAGAGGATGGCTCTATGTGATGAAATAACTTCACCAGTGACCTACGCTCACAATCCTGCAGAAGCAAACATTCAAAACAGACAATGAAACTCCATAGAACTGCTTTTACACAGGTAGAGACACAAAATTTTGGGTCCAATGTTGTTGAAATATCAGAACTTCACAATCTAGCAGAATAATGTAGTAGTTAGTAGAACACATATGTTTCCAGCAAACAAGCACATCTGTTGCTGTGTACTTGTACTATTTCAACAAAATAACGACATTGAGAGCATCGTGTTTTACATGTTCACTTCCTAGTTTAATGAAAGATAGAGTAGCACAGGTGACTACAAGTTGTCCGACCTCGATAAGATGTCAACTTATTTTAGGAAAACGGTGTTAATATTCAAACTGACACAAAACAATATTGCAAAATCAAATCACAAATAGCTTATCCTGGTTAGCAGATGGATTGAAGGAGGTTAAAATACTGCAGAAACATATCTAGCAAAACAGTTAGTTTTCAAGAGCAAGCAGATGATTCAACAGTGACCATCTTTGTTTGTTAGTTTCGTAAGAGCTGTAAATAAAAGAATTAAAGCGGCCCGAAGAATCCTCACCTTAAACATATTTAAATGGAATGGTTTGTCTGGATTCATTCTCTTCAGTTTTAGGAATGTATACGCGAAGCTTAGTTGGTCACGTGAAGTAAATCGGTCAACTTCATTGAACCAGAGGCAAGAAAACAGATTTGACATGGGTGTATGTGCTCTGACAATAAAAGAACCTTCAGGCACATCTGCAGTATGCCAGAAAACCAAAATTAGTTCAACAAACTGCATATGAACGAAGAAGGCAACAAAGAATAAGACAAAATAGTAAGCATGAAAATGGCTACATACAGCTCGGCAGAGGAGGATTTGGATCTGAAGGGTCAAATTAGCATAAGTACATTGTTTTGTTTTGCTCTAATCTTCTGTCAAGAAACTAGTTCAGTGAAGTCAATGATGAGCCGCGAGAATAGTAACCCATAAGTCAAGCAGTAAAGATTACCTCTCTTGTGTTGCATAGCAGCTAGCTCCAGTTAGTGAAAATGATAACGCGCTTTTTTTAAAGTCACTTTTCTACTATTCCACATTCCCTTCCTGCTTTCTCAGCAGCTTCATTACAAACGGTACACCCTCTCCCTGTTGTATAAATAGCCCTCCTCTCTTCCCTTGCATTTCATCCAAGCTACGTACAACACACAAAACTTCCATCAAAGCATTAGTTTCTCACTATAGCCTTCAAAAACATATACTAAGTACCTAAAAGAAAAAACAATGTCTTCTTCCTTCGGTTTGAAATCGACCCATTTCATTTTAAAACTCTTTCTATTGATTTCTTTCATCAATGTGTGTTTTGCTTCAAGAAAGCTTACTGCTTTAGTCCAAGACCCACAAAATCAACTATTG